GGGGGGGGGAGAGAGAGATGCAAGAATGGGAGGTCCTGGGAGGGGGGAGATCTATTGTTGCATACTCGTGAACACAGACGTAAGTATGGCGCAGAATCCCAGAGCCGACCAGATAACACAGAGCAAATACAATTCCAGCGGAGGATTGACTCAAACCTGACTCAGACTGCAACGAATCCCTCACAACAGGCATCGGTGGTGTGAAAGCCCTGGCCTTTGGACATGGACGAAAAGGCCAGGGGCTGATCCCATACACAGATGAATGGAGGGGAGTAGAGACGAAGGGAGGAGGAGAGGGAAGATGACGTCAACTCGATGTCTCCAAAAATAGTATCTCAAAATGTCAGAAGTAGCGAAAATCCTAAATGTTGCAAATACAGTCTCACAGTGTCTCAGATATCGATCTCACAATGCCGAGATACATTCCCGAGGTAGATGAAGTCAGATTCCAAAAGTACTCCTCAACCTGAAGTCTCAATGTTGCTATCTCCAATATCATCAGAACTCGTAACCATCGCTCATACTTGTAGTAGTCCAGTATGGGTAACCCAAGAAGTAGACTTAGACTTAGAGGGCAGGAGGAGAGAGAGAGCGAGAGCGGAGAAGGAACGAAGGAAGAGGGAGGAAAGGTGAAGCTTTTCTCCCTGATACCTGAATGGCCGCGCTGTCCTTGCCGATGTCCGTTGAGGCCGAGCCTGGCGATGAAGCTATGGCGCTGCAGTGCTAGGCGCTGGGCTGCGGGCTGAGCCAGAGGGCCGGCGCTAATCGCTGCTGCGCTAATCCTTCTCCCTGCTGCACTAATTCTCCTCGCTGCTCCGCTATGCTAACCGAAACGCTGTACTAACCTCACTTACTGAGGCTGGTACCCAGCTGATATAGCGCTGGGCCGGCCTCAGTACTGCTGGTACCTTCGGGTCTGGACCGTTGATCAGCCCAACGGTTCAGATTCGAATTGCCGAAGTCTGAAAAGTGGCGCCTAACTTGGCAGCCTTCAAAACTGCGCTGCCGGTAGGTCCTGGTGTTGGACCGGTACCGGCCTGGCCCTTGTGACCGTTGGCCGACTCGGCCTCTGGGCCGACCTATAGGCCTGAACCATCGTGACCCTGACCCTAGGCCTAAACTAGCCTAACTACGGAACCGGGCCCTAACTGGGCCCCGTGTGGTGTCAGAATGCCACAGCTATGGAGAGAAGGAAGAGAGGTGACCTACCTGGTTGGACTTCAGCATGGGAGCTCCAGCGACACACATTATTGGATTGGACATTGATGGAGCAGCAATGTGTAGAGTGGGATTGACGGCAAGGAAGGATGAGCAGCGTAGGCTAGTATATTCTAGCAGTAGCACGAGGTGATCACATTGGCCAGTCCAGACCATGGAGAGAATCGAGAGAGGTGACTTACCTGATTGGTCTTCCGCATCAGAGCTCCACCGTTGCACGTTCATTGATTGAACATTGGTGGAGCAGTAATGTGTTGTGCGGCATTGAGGACATGTGAGGATGAGTAGTGTAAGGCTGGTATAGGCTATAGTTATAGGGCGAGGTGACCAAATTGGCCGCTCCATGAAAGGATAGACCAGCCTTCCGCGTGAGCATCTAGTTTTTGATATGTGGTGAAGTTCAAAGGACTTTCTTCATAAAAACTTAAAAAGACCTCCATATTGTCAATATCTTGTATATGTGTCATTAGTGCTCTGTTGTTTCTGTTCATTGCCTTGTTGTTGAGTCATTGCTGGTCCATGGTGACTTGCATTTCACCTTCACAATATCCTTGTGATGTCCACATTGTGGCCAAGACGCTACATGGACTGCATGCTCATCTGTGATGCACCTTGCGATCGAAGATGTCATCAATATTTTCTGGGTACGGTCAATGCCCATCCTGCTGACTTTTGGATCAACAATTCTCTCTATGGTGCTGACTTTTGGATCAAGAATTCCCTCTATGGTTTGCCCTGTCATCATCATATCATCCTTCTCTCACCAACCCCTCTGTTTCTAGGATCTGTCTGCTGCCCTCATTCGTCATACCTGCCGCACTTGGCACTCGGTGGGTATGATGTTACAGCAGATGGGTGTGGGACCATTTCCCGCTCAACCACCCAAACATGGGCAATCTTGCAGCTGAAACAACGTATGCAATGAAAGAAAAGAAAACAGGGAAAACAAGAAACGAAACGGAGTTACAAAACCCTTGTCTGTTCCTCTCCCCTTTTCTTCAAATGTGAAAACGTGCTTGCCGGTGATGAGCAACTGGACTGAGGGCCCCCCAGAATAGGTGGGGCATATGTTTGTTCCAAAAAAAAAAAAAAGGAAGTTAAAAAGTTATAAAACCCTTTTTCAGTTCGCCTTTCTGTTCTGTGTACGTCCGCCCTTCCATTTTTCCTTTCCATTACTTTTCAGTGTTTCACTAAATAGCCAGGGCCTTGTGGTCCTGACTACTTTCTATTCTGGGGATATTGAGTTCGGTTCCTTTTCCACTGGTGAGTCACATATACAAACCAACGGACTCTGATGCTTCCTTGCATTACGGCCAAAGGAACCCATCAGCAGCATTGATTGCACCTTTTGAGGTGGCATTATCTGCTTCTTGGAGTTCTCTGTGTCTACGTTGCATGGGCTGCCTTGTTGGCTTGAGATCTACGGGATTCTAGCATTCTAGGGTCTTTTGGACCCTAATACCGAGATTCTTCTCTTAATCTGTTGTTGGGCCACTTCTTTCACCAGCAGCGGAGTCGCTTGTGCAGACCCCTCTCTGTAGTCCTTATAGTCTCCAGAGTTCATGTCGCCCCTCAGCCATCCTTGACCACGCTGGCTCGTGTCAGTTCGCTTCCTGGTGAACTGTTATTTTTCGCATAGTGACAAACCAAGAGAGCATTCCTGAAGCAAATGTGGAAAAATCTGAGTACGGACGCCGCCCGGCCGGGCGGGGCCGGGTGGGCCGCCCGGGCAAACCGGACGGGCAGAAAAAACAGCCCAGAAATTTTTTTATTTTTTTTTTGAAAGCGGGGTCCTTCTGTGCTCGGCGAGAGGACCCCAAATCTGCAATAAAAAATCTGGTTTGGGGGGGGG